AACAAATTTTCTTTGTTCCATTGTATCTTCTTTGCTCCTTTGTCAAAAATTAGGTGTCCATAAACTCGTGGGTTTATATGTGGGTTTTCTATTCGAATCCACTGGTCTGTATGTCTATTCTTATTCCAGTACCATGCAGTTTTGATTATTACGGCTTTGTAGTACAACTTGAAGTTTGGGATTGTAATGCCTCCATTTTGATTTTTCTTAGAAAATAGACTTTTTTTAAGGATTTATTTATGCATGCAAGGACTGGGGAACAGGTCAGAGGTGCAGGGTTGGTGAGAGGATTCGCCAGAGACAGAGTGGGATGATTGATGAAGTACACTGCTGAGGGGAGCAGTGGGCAAGACAGGAGAGGTCTGCTGTACCATGTGGGTCACCTCCAGGATGGCTCGAATTCACAGAAGCAGCCAAGCCAGGCTTTTTTGCAGTGCTGTTTTGTGCCACCCTTTGTGCCACCAGGAAGCCCCTTATTTTTTTTTTTTTTAATTAAAAAGGAGTCACAGAAAAGTGATGAAAAATAAAACAGAATTTAAAGGACTGGAGCAGTTATTATGAATAAGATAATATATGAGGGTAATAGAAAGGAAGAACTCTTAATAGAATCATTTTTCTGTCTCCTTATGTCTGTTTTTAAACCATTCTCATTTTTCAGTTCTCATTTCTTGAAGTGAGATTTTAAAAATAAGGTGTAGATAAAAGGGCATTTGGGTAAAAAGATACTGTGGGTTTGAAAATACTTTTTTTTTTTTTAAAGATTTACTTATGCATATAAGAACTCAGGTACAGGCCAGAGGTGTGGGAGATATGAGAGGATTCACCAGAGACAGAGTGGGGAACACAATGGGCAGATCTACTGAAACACACTGCCAAGGAGAGCAGCAAGTTGGTCAGAAGAGGTCTGCTGGCCATGTGGGTCAGTTCCCTGGCTGGGAATCGAACTTGCGCTGCAGTGGCTGTGTATTGCTGCGTAGTGCTGCCCTTTAACTTGTTGCGCCATCAGGGAAGGCCCAGGTTAGACAGTACTGTTTCTGAATTTCCTTATATTATCTCTGCTTAGCTCTGGTCTTGATCTGCATCTGACCTTTTTTATTAGGATTCTGATCTTCAATTATTGCAAAATAAAGAAAATTCTCAGTTATAAGTGAGAATTTGATCCTTTCTGTATCCTGTTAGATATACAACATTTAGTAGAAACTGGAGATGATAAAGTAAAAAATAATAATAATAAATTTGGAAAGAACAGTAAAATACCTTATTAGTCCTGCCCAGGTGGAGGTATATTTCATAGAACTTTTAAGCATCTAAATATCATATAAGACATGGAAGCAGAAGGAACTCTAGTTCTTGATGTTTTCCTAATTGTTGAGTTGGTAACATGACTTTGTTTTTCTGTTTAAACCTTAGCCCACGTGGTGATTATGCAGGACAGAGGTGCTAGGGGTGAGAGGATTCAACAGAGACAGTGGGAAGCAGAAAAGCAGATTGACTGAAATACACTGATACGGGGAGCAGTGGATGAGACAAGAGAGGTTTGCTATGCCATGTGGGTCACCTCCTGGCTAGGGATCAAACTCATGCTGTAGTGGTTGCTGATAGCAAAATTGCAAGGAATATATAATGGGAAAGACTTTTCTAAACGGAGCCAAAGAAAATTAGGGTGGTATCTAGACAAAAATGATTGAAAAGTAGTTGGACTGCTTACATATCTCATTTAATCCTTGGAAGTTTTGTGAATGTTGTTTTCCTTGTTTTTTAAAACTTATTTAATTTATGCATACAAGAATTGGGGTGCAGGCCAGATGTGGGAGAATTCCCCAGGGACAGAGTGGGGAGCAGAATAGGCAGATCTAATGAAATATACTGCTGAAGGGAGCGTTGGCCAAGACAGGAAAGTTCTGTTCTGCCACGTTGGTTACCTCCCTGTCTGGAGATTGTACTTGGGCTGCAGTGGCTGCCTATAGCTTCATAGTGCTGAAATTTAAACCCTGAATCCTGTATGTTTTATTAGTAGTTTCAACAAGCACTTAACACTTGAGAGCTTTTTCTCAAATGTACCAGAGCTGTAGCTGTTTTTGTTTAAAGATTCCTTAGGGCAGTTGGTTTTAAACAAGGGGGTTATTTATTTTTCTTAGTTTTTAAAAAATATATTCATTATATCATCCTTCATTTTTGTACAATTTATGATTTCCTTATGAAATTCCCACTACCAATTCACCTAATTAATAGAGTTCACAAAGTTGTAATTAAGTCTCCCATGTGCTAACTATAGGGTAAAATCATGGGCCAAAAGTTAAAATAGGCCATAATTTTGTGGAGGAGGTACCTGTGAGATGCACCATCTCCATAGTGCTTCCCTACTCCTGTCCTGATCCTTCTCCCTCCCCTGCAGAATGTTACTGATCTATAGTTGCTTGATGATTTTGATTTTTACTTTATTATAGTTTTTTTTTCTGACTCCTTTTTTGTTTTCTTTAAATTTCTCCTATAAGTGAGGTCATTTGAGAAGAAAGGCAAATGGCCAACAGGCATATGAAAAAATGTTCATCACTTCTAATCAGAGAAATGCAGATATAAACTAGAGTGAGATACCACCTTATACCAGTGAGCATGACACATATAAAAAACTGGCAGTATCAAATGTTGGCGGGGATCTGGAAGAAAAGGATCTCTCCTGCACAGCTGGTGGGAATGCATACTTGTTCAATCACTATGGAAAGCTGTGTGGAGGTTACTCAAACTACTAAAAAAAAAGCGGAGTTTCCATAGGATCCAGCAGTTCTACTCATACAAGGTTTAAAAAAAAAAAATTTGAGTACCTCATGAGTATTGTTTATTCTTTAACTCTGGGTCAAAAGTAAGACACAGTTTCTAACAAATACCCAGTTAATGCTAGACCCAGTGGTCAGAAATCATAGTTTAAGAACCACTGCACTACACTGATCACAATCTTAAATATTGACCATAGTTTGAGATAGAACTAAATCTGTGCCGAATGTACAAACACAGAATTGCATATAAGTCATGCAGTGTTACTAGATGGGCATTAGCAATGATCATTTAATGCACATTATCTTTCATTTATTTTTATAGATTGGAGCATATGATCAACAAATATGGGAAAAATCTGTTGAACAAAGAGAAATCAAGGTAACAAGTTTATTTCATTTTTTTAGATTCTAAAGCATAGGTCTATAGGCTGAATATTAACCATATTTTATTTAATATCTTTCCATATACTTTTAAGGTATGAATTATGATTATTCTTTGAAAACTTCATAGTTTTTATAGTCATGTCTACCTCTGATAATTTTGCTTTTTAGCATTTTTCTGTTCTATTTAAATTTAATTTCTAATGATTATTTTTTGTCAGCTCTTTTCCCCTTTTACTTGTCACCTTATACTTCTAGTTTGCTTTTCCTCCCCTTTGATGCTGTCATTGCTCTGTACAGTTTATTAAACTGGTGAGTATTTGAGGCTTTTACCCACCTGAGTGATCTGTGCAAGTGCTGCTCTGCTTAATTGAGACCGCTTTTTGGCACTACTAACATGCAGAATGACTTGGACGCAAGTGAAATAGTTGAAAAGTTAGTGATTTTAAAACAACTAGGAAAGTAAAGCATTAAAGTAGTTTTGTAGTGGGTGATTTTTCCTTGACCATGTAATCACCTCTCTAAAATTAGTAAGATGTATTCTTGGGCTACCTTGCTAGCATGAAATTGTTTTGTAATTGAATTTGAATTGTTTCTCAGCAATCACTTTTTTGGCAATAAGATTCATATTTTCATTTGCATAGGTAATACTAATCAGCGTGTTCCTGCACGAGCTAAATTTAATCTGGGCCCAGTGGAGATGACTGTAGTTGCTTGACATACTCTGTTTTCTACAGAAAGGTTTACATTAGACTGAAAAATTAATGACTGTAGTTACTTAAAAATCTGCCAATGTTAAGACAATAATCTATAAAAGAACAAAATTCTTTGCCATTTCTCAGTTTTAATTTGTAAATTATTTTCATGAATAATTTAGTTTACAAAGTTGTAATTAAACCTCCCATGTGCTAAATACAGGGTTAAATCATTGGATAAAAGTTAAAGTAGGTCATAATTTTGTGGAGGAGGTACATGTGAGATAAATCCAGAGAGGCACATTTGTCTTTAGAAGAGTGAGGGAAGGCATCCCTGGGCAAGTTTAGGAAGACTTCACTGAGGAAGTGATTCATGAACTGAGTTTTAACAGGTAGGACTTGGGAGAGAGATTTTGAAGTCTTCAGTATATTAATAAGGGTGTGTGTGTTAGATAACGTGTGTGTGTGTTATATCCTCGTACAACATACAGATATAGCTATGTGAGTAAGTGGATTTATACAGACAGGCAAGGCAAGAGGTATAAATGAAGGAGGAGAAAGCAGGAAACTCATGAAACAGTAGAGTAGAGAGTATGATAAAGAAATGGAATAGTTAAGCAAAGTGCAGCAGATGGGTTTAATGAGATGCCTTAAAATCTCTTACTCTCTTTGACATTATTTAACTAGTTGGACAGGGGATATTAAGTACTTTGAAAAGTTGTATTATCCATTGGCACATTTAGATGTTTTTCAAATTTGAAAGCCTCAAAAAAGTGAATTAAATGTATACTCTTTGTTTTCAAATACATTGCCACTATTAAAGACAAAAATTATGTATAACTTATACCAAATTTATTTTAGTTTTTGGGATCTATTCATCACAAAGTATTTCATTACTTATATAATTTCCTCATTTTTAAAAGAACTATTTTAATGTCTAAATAGATTAGGGTAAGGAGGATTCTATCAGTGTTACTTGGTACAGCAATGAACTTTGGGGAGGCTGATACTATAACTTGTTTCTGAAATAAGTCTCCCTTGAAATAATAACTGTAAAAGTAATACCTAGGAATTGAAGAATTAAAGCAGTATTAAACCTAACTTGCAATTTTGAATTAAATCAGTTTGCTGATAAGCCTAAAAACATATTCCATTCTTGCTAATAGACATAATAATAGAGGCAATTATATTATAAAATAATTTTGCATTTATATTAAGAAAGATAAATTGGTATTTAATTAGTATATGATATCAATATTTAAGAAAAGAAAAATGCTGCATTTGTTGCTTTCAAAAATGTATCAAGTTCATCCTTTGAAATTGAGGCCCACTGTTGATACTGCTAAGGTGCAAAATCTTTTGTAAGTTTGTATTTTTTTTTTTGTAGTTTAGAAATTGTAATTGAAAACTTCCATTTTCTGACACTTTGACTCAAATTTAAGTGTGAAATTTCTCTGCTTTAATGCCAGGTAGAATTTTAAAGCTTCAACAAAAAGAATTATGCCAGTTAAAGTCATTTTAGAGGAAACACAGGTTGAGGGATTAAGTGAGATTTCCAGAAAGTGAAACTAATGGTTTGATGGATTTTAGGTATTAAAATAGCTTCATATATAGAAAGTATGGATCATTGAACAGAATTTCTGTAAGTAAATAGTTCATTTTAGCTTTTTCACTTAACATAATCTATGTACTTAGAGGTTTAAGAAATTAAAAACTTCATACCATGTGAGTATGCACTTTGAGAATGTACTGTAAGAATTTAAATTTATAATTAGTAAATATATTTGGATTCCTGATGAAAATTATAGGCATACAACAGTAAAATTAAGCTTCAGATTTTTTTTTAAAGATTTATTTATTCATACAAGAACTGGTGTACATGCCAGAGGTGCAGTGGTGGGGTGAGAGGATTCACCAGAGACAGAGTGGGAAGCAGAACAGGTAGATATATTGAAATACACTGCTGAAAGGAGCAGCGGGTGAGACAGAAGAGGTCTGTTGCGCCATGTGGATCAGCTTCCTGGCCGGGGATCGAACTCTCTAGTTCATCCCAACAGCCCTGGACCTGGAAAGCATCGTTATTGCAACAGTCCTGATGGGCAGGGGAGACCCACGAGCTGCTCTGAAGTGCTCCTCCTTTGTATGGTCAGTGTTGCCCTGCTGGCAAGGAGGACCAGTGCTGCAGTGGCTGTGGCTAGCTTCGTAGTGCTGAGACTTAACCCCTTGGGCCACAGGCAGGTCCTTCAGATTGTTCATAAAACACTTGTAGTAAGATGATTTTCAAATTATTAGAAAAAGAAATTTTTTCACTGCATGAAAAAAGTGCATTAAATGTACACTGTTTGCTTTCAAATACATTGCCACTATTATTAAAGACAGAAATTATATGTAATTTATACCAAATTACATATCGTTCTGTTGAATTTTTATTTAAATGTGCTTTCCAGTTTGCAAATTGGAATGATAGTCTGTCAGCTACTCTGTCTTGATACCAAATGGGTTATTGAGGTACAGAAACAGTCAGTTCTCATTCACAGTACTTCTGTGAAGTCACCATTAACACTGAGTTAATGAATACTGAGTCATTGTTGCCAGGGGAAATACAGTGTTTAAGTTCCTATGAGCCTCTGTCACAACAGTTTCATTAGCTGATTAATACATGACTTTGTTATGTGTGTTTCTGTTGAAAAACACCTCACTCAATACATATTGTTGATTCATTAATATTGAATTCATGGCCAACAGCCCTATAACTCATGCCCATATAAGCTTATCTAAAACACATTTTCTTTTCTTAAAAATTTATTTTATTTATGCATACAATACTGGGGTACAGGCCAGAGGTGCAGGGGCGGTGAGAGGATTCACCAAAAACAGAATGGGGAGCTGAACAAGCAGATGGACAAAGTACACTGCTGAGGGGAGCATCGGGTGAGACAGGAGAGTGATGTGGGTCACCTCCTTGGCAGGGATTGAACTCATGCTGCAGTGGCTGTGGATAGTTTCAGATTAGCTTCACAGCACTTTAACCCATTGGGCCACCACGGCAGCCCCAAGTACATTTTTTAACAAGGCACATCATAGCCTTTTTTGGGATCCATTTTAAATAACAGTATTAATGACTGTGATTGGGATCCATTTTAAATAACAGTATTACCTGGACAGTATTAATGACTGATTGGGATCCATTTTAAATAACAGAATTACCAACAGAAAGCAGGAAAACGATGCAAATATCATGATACTAATGAAAAGGACAATTACAATATGAAAGCTGAAACAAGAGTATTACCTTGTTGGACCTCAGCTGGGGACATGCACATTAGATGACTCAAATTTTTGACCTCTTATTCTGTCTAAAATGACTATAAATGTGCCCAAAGTATTGATTTGAAGGTACATATAAATCTTAGTGAATAGGTGAATTGTGGATATGGAATCCAAATATTAAGATCAACTGTACACCCAGTAATCATGGCTTTACCCATAACTTTGTTTTTGTATCTGAGTGGTTCGTAACTTCAGATGGACAGTGTATTTGAAGGAAATCAAAGAGCTAATTGCATCTTTATTTTAGGGTACTTTTTTAAGAAAAAGATTTATTTGTGCATACAGAACTGGGGTACAGGTCACAGGTGCAGGGGTGGTGAGAGGATTTACCAGAGACAGAGTGGGGAGCAGAACAGGCAGATCGTCAAAGTACACTGAGGGGAGCAGCGGGCGGGTCATGAGAGGTCTGTTGCGCCATGTGGATCACCTCCGAGACAGGTGGGGATCAAACTCATGTGTGAGTGGCTTTAGCTTCTTAGTGCTGTGCTTTAACCCGCAGTGCCACCAGGGAGGGCTCTTAGGGTACTTTTTTAAGGAAAAAAAAAATAATAATTACTATGTTCCATTCTTTTATGACCATTTCATATCCCCTATGTTCTATAAGAAACTTTTCTGGAAACTTGGACTACAAGTCAAATAATAAATGACCCTTTTCTTCATCATTATTAAAGATTTTATTTTATGTATTTACACATACAAGAGCTGGGGTGCAGGCTAGAGGTATAGTGGGTGGGGGAATGAGAGGATTCACCAGAGACAAAGTGGGGAGCAGAACTGGCATATTACTGAAGTACACTGCTAAGGGGAACAATGGACAAGACAGGAGAGGTCTCCTGTGCCATGTGGTCAGCTTCGTGGCTGGGGATGAACTTCATGCTAGAGTGGCTGGTAATAGCTTCCTAGCCTTGCACCACCAGGGAGGCCCAGTTCAGGGGACATTTTTGTTTAAAAATGTCAGTTAACTTTGAGCTTATATGCCATTTTTGTTATTGTTTTAAAAGTAAACAGTACTTATTCAAATTTTTACTTTAGTGTGTCACTGAAATTTGGATTAAGACCAAGGATTTGCTGCAGTTTCTTAGCCAATTGAAGAAATGGTAAACAGATCATCTAAACTCTGGTTATCTTTCAGCTTTTTTGGCTTCCGAGGAGTTTAATCTTAGGTTCTTTTAATTAACATACTAGCCTTAAGTTATAAAGTGTAATTTATTTTTCATAGTGTTTTTCCCCCAAAGATTCTCTCCACTCATCTTCCCATTCTGATACTGATGACAGAAACTTAATACTTAGTGCTCAACAGTTTCAAGTTTAAACTAATTCAGTTCATGATTTCTGTTTTATCCTCTTCTGGCCATGTATCCAAGCTCTAAGGTGATGAGGTGGCATTGTTATCTGGCCAGTGGTTGGCATGTGAACATAGCCACAACCCTGAGGTGTGCATCATTCTCTGAGTCTTACTGATTCCACCTCTACATACTGGCATTGCTGAGAAGTCTACATCCCTGTCTGCCCTCTGCTCTGACATTCACAGATTTCTGCAGCAATGCTCCCAGCATCGTACTTTGAGGGTCTTTGAGACCCACTGCTTCCGAAGCCAAACTCAACATTCTGCTTACCATTCTGGGGCCAACACAGTCTCCTGCAACATCTCATCTGTATATCTAAATTGATTGATAGCAGTGGGCTTTGTTGTAGAATTCTACTTTTAACTGGATCTGGCATGCTGCACATATCCCCAAACTTAACCTTTTGGAAAGTGATAAAATTTAAATATTATAGTTGTGGTTCATATGTAACAAAATGTAATGTGCTACATTTTCGTCTACTATATTAAAACTTTTTATGATTGAAACTTTCAGAAGTTGATTTTTTCCCTGCTATCTTGGATTTTAAAATATATATGTACTGAATTCCAGTATTACATTTAATGTATTACAGGGGTTAAGGAATAAACCAAAGAAAACAGCACATGTGAAACCAGACCTCATAGATGTTGATCTTGTAAGAGGTGAGTCTTAAATAAGTAAATGCCTAATATATTTAGAAATTTACTTGAAACAATTCAAAATAGCTTTCAACTATGTTTAGTGTAAGAAAAGCAATGTGAGACTAACTGAAAGTAAGAATACATTTAAAAACAGAAAATGTAAACACTTAAATACCACTGACTAGTCTACTACTAAAAGTCATCCAAGAAATAAGTATAAAAGAAAAGCAGCTCATTTGCTGCTCATTTGCTATAAGATGCGGTTATAATTGGTAATTAGCACTTCCTAAATGAAACTAACAATTGAATATTGTCTCGTATGTATAAATTATGTGGGAGGCATTCTGCTATTTCATTAAAAAATAGGTTTTTTTCAAGGTAACTGAGTTAATATCATAGTATAAAGAATGTTTTAAGACATTTACTACCCCAAACTATTCTCATAGCATTAGTATAAAACGAAATTATACATGTTTTGTTTCTCTTCAGTTGTTGAAATTTTTTTTAAGTTAAAAAAAATTTTTTTAATACAGAAATTAAAGAATCCTAAGTGTAAATGTATTTTACTTTTTTTAGGATCTGCATTTGCTAAGGCAAAACCTGAAAGTCCGTGGACTTCACTGACCAGAAAGGGAATTGTTCGAGTTGTGTTTTTCCCGTTTTTCTTCCGGTGGTGGTTACAAGTAACATCAAAATTCATTTTTTTTTGGCTTCTTGTCCTTTATCTTCTTCAAGGTATAATTGTTAGAAATGCATTTTGTTTTTAACTTTCAGAATGATATATTTTTAGGGTTACTAAGGGTTTGTTTTTTTAAGACATACTGAACATGAAAAACTGAGTATTAGATAAACATTATAATACTTCACTTAGACTTCAATGGTTTGGTATGAAAAATGTTTGCAAAAACAAAGTAGATATTTGTCAGTATAAGTTTTGAAAATTTGAATGTGTAAATGGTGAGGGAAAACCAGAAGTTGAACAGATTTTTACAAATATTCAAGAATTTCACCCCCCCCAGTAATACACTATTCTTGCTTTTTTACAACCTGCCACTAGTTTTTTTAAGATATAGACCTAAAAATAGAACTTCAGAGATTATATATTCCTTTTGATTGTCCCTAGAGTTCAGCTTCGCCAGTATATAAAGTTCTTACATGGCCTGTGTTCTGCCTGTGTTCTGCCTGTGTTCTGTCTGCCTGTTCTGTACTGTTCTGTCAGATTAAGATTCCATTTAACCTTTATTACTTTATAGGCCCCATCTGTAAATGTTGTCACATTGTGGGTTAGGGCTCACAAATTAATCTAGAGTTAGGAGGCATAACTTAGTCCATTATAGTTTATTTATATTGTTTCTTTATATATCTCCCTTTTCTTCTAAACTGATGCAAAGAGCAGACATTGTATCTTATTTGTACTCTTATTTCCAATACCTAACATCTACCACTAGTCTTTTAAGATTTATAGACCTAAAAATTGAACTTCAGAGATTATATATTCCTGATGATTGTCACTAGAGTTCAGCTTGGCCAGCATACACATATACAAAGTTCTGTGCCTTGAAACTGCTTGTTCTTGATAAAGGAGGTTTGGCTTAGTTGATCTCTGCAGAAATATCTAGAAATACTGTGACAGAAAGTTACAGCAGTCTGCCTAGTTCACGGGACTTCATTAAGTGATCAAAGAGCATAATTTATAAGGCTTTACCCAAGAGAAGTGAATAATTTCTCTTTTTTTTTTTTTTTTTTTAAGATTTATTTGTGCATACAGAACTGGAGTACAGGCCAGAGACTCAGGGGTGGCGAAAGACTTCACCAGAGACAGAGTGGGGAGCAGAACAGGCAGATCGAGGAAGTACACTGCTGAGGGGAGCAGCGGGCGGGTCAGGAGAGGTCTGCCACGCCATGTGGTCTCCTCCGGGGCAGGCAGGAATCAAACTCGTATGGAAGTGGTTTCAGCTTGCCACCAGGGAGGGCCATTTCTCCTTATATGTTTTAACCCTTTACTTGGAGGACTAAAGGGAGGAGGTGATGATACCAGAATCATAGATACCAGACATTGCCAATTTGAGGGATATAACCAGTAGGAATAAGGACAAAAGAGAGGACTAAGTGGTTTCCCACTCTTTTTCTAACACATGTTTTGGGTGGAGAGATGGGCAGAATAGAACAGCTCTGTGTTAAGATACAAAATACAGGGCTTTCAGCCATAGCATACAGAGAACTGTATCACAGGACTGAATTGTATAAATAACCATCAGAGGATTATATAAAGTCTTAAGTGCTTTAAGATGTTCTTTGTTCTTGAAACTCTGAACTTTTATAAGTACATTTCCTTCCTGTGCCTTTTAAAAAATAGTTAATTAATAGCAAATAGTATAACTAGTAAGATAATAGCCAACAATGATGATAGTATCAATAGCTAATAAAAGCTACCATTTATCAGTGTTAGGTGTTAATTCACTATGCATAAGAGCCTTTCAAAGTGTTTTACATATCTTACTTCACTTGAAACTTACAGTACCCTGTGTATTGTTTTATTATACAGGTGTATAAATCAAGGCTCAAAAAAGTTAAGGAACTTGGTAAAGTTCCTATTAGTAGTCCATGTAAAAAGTGGCAAAAACGTTACTATTCAAATTTCCAAAATTGTATAAAGCAGTTCAAGAATTTGAGTTAAATTCCAGGGGAAATTCATAAAGATAATTGACAGTTTTAAAAATTTATGTTTTTCCCCAAGGGGATTGCAACTGAGATGGAGAAATGCACAAAAATATGTAAAAATAAATTATTATAAAAAATTTATATTTTTCCTTTTTAAACTTTGTTAATCACCATAGAAAGCTGAATTTTTTTTTGTGGCACTTGTTAAACATAGTATGAGATTAAGTGCTGTTTTAAGCGGAAATCTTAGTGTATTCCACTAGCATTCTTTCCCATTCTTTTGTAAGTGGCAGAAACCAAATGCAAACTAAGTTATCTAAAAAAAAAATCACTATTTTTACGGCTTATAAAAGTTTTCAAAAAATGCCAGAATAGACTGGTACTATAACTAAGTTCCATATGTTCAATTTGTCTGGGACTGTCCACCTGTTTAAGTTCACTTGTGTTAACCTGGTGCTTTTATTAATAGTCTCCTTTTGTTCCCAAGGGAGTCCTGGTTGAGATGATAAAATACATGATCACCCTTAATACCTATAGGCCCATCTGTTTGGTTAGATAATTATCAACATTTTGATCTGTTAGTCTGTTTTGGTCAAGTGTGTGTGTGTGTACATATATATACACACACACACATACACGTACATTTGCATGTATATATGTGCATACGTTTACATATATGCACACACATATACACACACTATATACACACACACTGTATATTATAAATGATGTTTTTTTCACCCCTGAACATATCAGGGGTAAAATATATATACAGTATATATATATTTCAAAAAATATATATAGTATAACCACATTATAATTATCATACCTAACAAAATGAACAGAAGTCAAATATTCAAATTCTCCAATATTTCCACAATAGAGTTAAATATTCCTATACTCTAGTTTCAAACTGTGCTGGATCTTGAAGCTCAGATGATACCTTCATTTTTTTTAATGCTTTCCTTATCCTTCGGCAGGCTCTTTCTGAGTGGAAGCTAAGTGGCCCATGGCAATTTCATATTTTCATAGTCCTTAATGTTTGTGACGTAGGAGAAAACCTTCATCAAGCACATTTGTTAATCCCTGGAAAAGATTCTGATTAGCCTTCTTTAGGTTACATGCTTATCTTTTTATTAATTCCTGTACTTACAGTTAAGACTATGACAAGCCTAGGTTACATGTTCATCCCTAAGGTGAGAGAAATAAGATCACTTGAGACAATAAAACTGCTAACCTCTCAAAAGGAAAGTAGAGTTTATGTCTAGATAAACTAAGTAATACTGAGCAGACAAAAACAAGATTTCTTCTTGTAACTAAACACACTGTGGGTGTTTAATGGTTTCCCTGAAAATTATGCCCAAGTAAATCTGTTATTAGTTTTTAGTGGATAAACTTCTATTGAAAAGAAATTCGTTATAGTCTTATTATACACATAGACTTCCTTATTTGTAAAACAAAGAAATAAGGATATTTGAGGTTAGTAGGAATCTTAGTAGGAATGCAATAGAGTCAGATGCCTCTAATTTTCATAGTGGTATTAAAGTCTATCCTTTAGGGACTGTTGGGTGTTACCTTGTTTTAAAAGTGTATTATTCAGGGCCCTCTCTGGTGGTGCAACAGGTTAGGAGGCAGCACTGCAAGCAACCCATAGCTGCTTCAGTGTGAGTTCAATGCCTGACCCCTGGGGGTGACCCACATGGCGTGGCAGACCTCTTCTGACCCACCTGCTGCTGCCCTCAGCAGTGTACTTTGTCAATCTACTGTCCTGCTTCCCACACTGTCTCTGGTGAAGCCTCTCACCGCCCCCACCCTCTGGCTTGTACACCAATTCTGTGTGCATAAATACATGAATCTTAAAAAAGAAAAGTATATTACTCAGGGCCCCCTCTGGTGGTACATAGAACTATGAAGAAATCCATAGCTACTTCAGCACCAGTTCAATTCCCTGCCAGGGAGCTGACCCACATGGCATGGCAGACCTTCCCTGACCTGCCCACTACTCCCCTTAACAGTGTATTTCAGTCAGTCTGCCTGTTCTGCTCCCCACTCTATCTCTGGTGGATCCTCTCATCACTACTTCACCCCCACCCCCTGCCATACCTCTAGTCTGCACCCCAGTTCTGTATGCATAAATAAATAAATCTTTAAAAAAATGTATTAGTAGCCACTTGTCTGGAGTAACATTTTAAACTAATTTAAATTTGAAAAATAATATGACAAGAAGCATAATTTTTAAAGTTATGAAGACACAAATATCAGATCTATAATTAAATGTATTTTCTTTCCATTCTTGTAGTTGCCGCAATAGTATTATTCTGTTCCGCTTCTAGCCCACATAGCATACCTCTGACTGAAGTGATTGGGCCGATATGGCTGATGCTGCTCCTGGGAACTGTGCACTGCCAGATTGTTTCAACAAGAACACCAAAACCCCCTCTAAGCACAGGGGGTAAAAGAAGGAGGTACTGTCTCTCTGAAAGTGACCTCATAGATTTCTATATTTTGAATCCAGTATTGTTCTTCATTTGAGTAAAATGTCATAAAGTTGCTTTTTCAAATGAAGCTAAAAATAGACTCAGAATTAGTTATTAAATGATTCAGTCTTCTAAATTTGCTTCAAGGCCATTTTGAGACTACATGCCTGTTTTAATACTTATTTCTAGACACCTAATATTAGTTGTAGTGGACTTTTGTTAGTTGCAGTTACTGATAATTTCCACTGTTTACAAAATCTTGTGTTTATAAGCTTTAGTAAAAATAAGAGCTAAGAAAAATTTTCAGGTAAATTTACATATTAAATACTGTTTTTGAAACTTTAATTATTAAACAAAGCAAGTCTCACTGGCCATTCAGCACGCAGAGTTCTATTTTAAGGGTCTTTTGGAAGGGTTCCTCTTTTGAATATCATTGCTAAGATATTTCTGAATTCTTAAGATTTAAGACCTTTTCATCTTTGAAAAACTTACATTAGATAAATATCATTGATTATCTATTAGAGTATTTTTCTCTCTGACCTAAGTTTTCTTCTTTCTTCATCTGCAGATAAGTGGCATTTAGATAGGGAAGAAATGCTTTTGTAAATGTCTGCCCAGTGTGATCCTTACAACCTGCTGTCCACTGACCTTGGAACATTTCTAGAAATGTTAAGGAACAATGCCTTAACATTTCTAGAAATTGGTCTTTAGTCTGTACTTTCAAATTTGGATTAATTTATATTCAGTCAATCTGAATATCATGAATTAAAGCTTCTATGTTTATATTTCCTGAAATTTTTAACATACTACTGAGAAACTGGTTATTAAAATTTTAAAGCTACTTTCTGTTCTTAATCTTTTCTGAAGAAAATTAAGAAAAGCAGCCCACTTGGAAGTACATAGAGAAGGAGATGGTTCCAGTACCACCGATAACACACAGGAGGGGGCAGTTCCGAGCCATGGTGCAAGCGCCTCCTACCGTGTGGGCGCTGTCTTCAGAGACCTGTGGCGTGCAGCATTCTTTTTATCAGGGTTTGTATTTATTCAGAGCTTTATATGACATAGAGATGCACTACCCCTTTTCTGGCACTTCAGTCTCAGGTAATGAATGTTAATGACTTTAAATTTGACAACCCTGACAGATTTTGTTTTGGTCTTATACTATGGATAATTAAAAAAACAGACAGCATAAAGTTTACTTTGGAGTATGTAGGACTATGCCCATCTGTGACAATGAGTATATACCATCAAGCTATATTTATAGTCAAAATTTAATTTCAGTTGCCTTTTTTCTTTTGTAGTTTGTATTTAGTTTACACTTATGGATAAGAGTTAATAAACACTTTCTCTTCTGATTTCTCAAATGCGAATTTACTTCTACTTTGATTTTTTTTTTGGTCTGCTTTGAATTCAAATTATAAGTTGTATGGCTTCTTTAATCTCTGCTTCAGTTATCTAAAGTTATCTGAAATAAAGCATAAAAGCATTGTTATAGGCTAAAATGTATAGTATGCAGTTCTATTTTGTGTATTGGGTTTTTTTGGTATAATTTATATCATCTGTGAAGATTTTTTATATAGGGAAATGTAACTTTAGCAAACTTTAAGAAGAAATTAAGCCTAACTGAATCTTTTATTATTTTGAGTAGTTAAATGCAAAACAATTAAGAGTTTTGTTTCTGCATTACATCCACATACTTAACGTTAAATATGATCAAAATACTGAGTATACTGATGAAATTCACACTTAAATTAGTAAATCAACAAAAGGGATACTGCAAAATAACTATTTTTAGTGACTTTTGTTTATTTCCCAACTGATACCATTGTTTCATCAACATGTGATTACACTCTTAAGCTAAAGTCTACCATATATCATACAATTAAGCAGTGATATAGTCTGAGATTATTTTCAATGATGGTAATTTAGAAGAGCAGTTTTTCCAATGTTAATAGTTTTTAGTAACATGACATTAAGTTGATTCCTTTACTACTTAAACCACCACCTATTCTTCCTCTACAAAAAGATACAAATTTTGTGTTGTTTTTAATTTGGGTTGCATTCTGTCTATATTTTTGTAGTCTTTTTTGTTTTGTTTTGTTTTGTTTTGGTTTGGTTTTCTTATTAAAGATTTATTTTAAGATTTATTTATTTATGCATACAGAGCTGGGGACAAGCCAGAAGTGCAGGGATGGTGAGAGGATTCATCAAAGACAGAGTGGGGAGCAGAACAGGCTGACTGACGGAAAGTGCACTGCTGAGGGGAGAAGTAGGAGAGTCAGGAAAGGTGTGCTACACCATGTGATCACTTACAGGCAGGGACCGAACTCATGCCGAAGTGGCTTTAGCTTCTTAGTACTGTGCTTTAACCCACTGCCCTCCACCAGGGAGGGCCTTGTTTTTGGGTTTTCTAAAGATTTATTTATTTATGCATACAAGACCTGGGGTGCAGGCCAGAGGTGTGGGAGGATGAGAGGATTCGCGTAAAGCAGTAGGGAGAAGAACATACTCCTAGTATATGTTCTGAAATACACTACTAAGGGGAGCAGTAGATGAGACAGGAGAGGTCTGCTGTGCCATGTCGGTCAGCTCCCTGGCCAGGGAGCTAACTTGTGCTACAATAGCTTTATAGTGCTGTCTTGATTCCTTGTGCCACCAGGCAGGCC